ACACTTTTCCGCAGACATGCAGCGATAATTGACGGCTTAATAACGAAAATAACTGCGAATCGTTTCGGTGGACACGTATGGTAATACACGGCAATCGCCGAAGGTAGTTCCGCTCGTCAGCGTATTAATTTATGTAATTGACAGATAACTCGAATCTAAGGACAATCAATGTCTATTATATCACTTGTCGATTATCGTAATTGATAATAGCAAATACTCAAATAGCTATCAAACGTTCTCCAAATTCGCAACGCAATAATTGCTAATCTCAAATATCGCCTGAAGCGAAATGATATAACAGTTTCCGTTATAATGTCAAACGATTGAGCAATGAAATCTCTTTTATAAATATAGCAATTTAAATATCGGTTGTGATAAAAGAATAAATTTAATTAATTACGTACAAAAGACTGTAAAAGAAATGTTTTATACAAAAATGCTTTATATATATTTTCAATATATTTTAAATATATTAATTATAAATTGCAAGAGATAAGAAAATTATCAATACTTGTTATACTTTATATAGAATGCTTTCTATTTAGTGACATAATTCGATACAAATTTCTTTCTTTATGTTCTATCTTTGTTACTCATTGAATTCCAAGAAGGATAAAATGACGTTTGTGTCACTAAATGGGAAGCACCCATAGTTTTCTGTTAACACTTTATGGAACTTTCGTATTCTGTTTTGTTTGTACACCTTTTCGAATATTACAATAACAATAATTTTCTGAAAAGAGAATGTCTAACGCGCGAGTGGTCTCGGTTTAACAAATGGTATCGCATCAAAAATGCATTTTTCATTTCTCGCGAGTGAAAATTGATGAATGAAACAAGTCCGGAAGAGGCTTTAACCGTGTGGAAAATTATCTGCAACGTACTTTGATGTTTCATTGATATAAAAATGGGAAACAACACTCGTCTTGTCATTAAGTAAGCACATCAATCAAATATACTCGTACTCGTTCGCCACCAAGAAACGGCGCTACAGGTCTAAATGAGTGTGCAAAACGGATTATTCATTTATGAGCATTTACGTAAGTACTCTTGAAGATAGGAAAATTATACATAGAAAATAATTGCGTTGAGCATTCGGGACAATTAGACTATCTATTGTAAAAATTTTAAAATTTTTAATTTTATTTAATGTTACTTGAGAGCAACTGTTTTCTTTAAGTAGGTATAACGTAATTCGATTAACTGGCGGTTCTTCTACAAATATTTATCAATGTTTAATTTTTGCTCTACATTCTTATTTTTCGAAAATTGAATTTTAATAATTAATTATCTTTATTTATATCTTCATAACAAATATATTATTTGATTCAATTTTCACACAATTATGTGAAAATATATATTTCCACAAGAATCTTATTTTGTCAAAGAATTTATCACTACAATTAAAATCAAGAATTTTTATATATTTTATATAAATATCAAAATATTGTACTTAAATAATTACTAATTTTGTCACTTGACAGATACATTATTTATGCAATGTAATTAATAACAAAATAATTGAATAATCCATTTTTCTTAAATAGTCGCAGCGTGTCAATGTACTAATCGATCGTATAATATTTCCGTGAAGGAATTAATAAATAACAAATAAACTCCGTAAATAGTGCTATCTCGCAAATATGTACACGTGTGTATCAATGATATTTATTTTTAAAGTCTGAGAATTTGTGAGCAGAAACAACGTGAGGACGAGGAAGACGACGATGAGAATGATCAAAAACGATATATACAAGTAAGATTAATAGGCATGACATATGAAGTGATAATTCCACAGTAATCATCGCTCCGTAAATCAAGACCACGTTTATCTGTCGGGACGTAATTTCACACGTGTAGAATTTAAACGACATCTAATATCTAAACCTCATAAGACCAATAATCAAACATCAGCTTTATTAGCACTAAGAAGTGAATATCATTAATTTTCATTAACTCAAGTCACAAGGAACGAACTTGAATAAACATATTTAAGATTGATTTATAGCATCGAAAAATAGTATTAGTTACCGAGAACAGCGGATGATTGATTTAGCGTTATTAGTATAGTAGAGATTTCCACCATGTAGTCAACTTTTAGGGGCATTTAATGTGATTATCCCTTCCTTCATTGTACGTATCTATAAAATTATAGTATCTATAATTAGAGCATTGACACAGCATCAATTGAAATAAGAAAAACTCTCGGCGCGTATACGTAAAGCAGCCACTTAAATAGCCACTGAGTTTTCCGGGGAGGAAGGACGGATGTTTGTGCGCGTGTAAATAGAATAGTGGGGAGAGAGACTGATGTGGCACACTGTGCCAATTTTGAATAGCTGATGTGGAAGATGGTTCTTGAATCGTGATTGAAAATCTCCTTATAACTTTATGCCTAACAAAACGTACTGTAACGCTTATTAATAAGGATGATCTCAGCGCACACTGCACACGTCAAAGTTCACACTCGTCGAAATAACGCATAAGTAACATTACAATAATAAATATATGTAGATAGGAATTTTCTTTAAAATTTACGGACTATTGTTGCAAAGTGGGATTTTATAATTTTATAATTTCTATGTATAAAATGTTATACGCGATTTAATAATTTTTTTTGGAATTATTCTATGTACCCATTTTAATTACTCTTGCGATTAATCTTGCATTATTATAATTCGTAAAAAATTTGCACGCTGATCACGGACATTAAAACGTCAAAGCGCATTGGCATAGCTCGTCGAATCTTTCGCATTACGTAAATCATTTACACGGGAGAGGCAAAACTCCGAAGCAATTTCATAAAGTAACACGTGCAGATAGATCGAGAAAAATGTTATCCTATATCTTGATAGGAGAATTGCAAAATAGTGATCTCTCTTACTCGGTGAAAGAGGAATGGATGGAAAAAGCAATCGATTATCACTCTAAATACCAATGGGACTTTTATGCACCTTTAAAGCATAAAAGAGGTCAAAGGTCGATTATCTCTAAATAAACTGTTACTTTCTAACACAACCTAGTTCTTTTTCAGCTTTCCTAAAATAACTCTCAAACTGCGTCAGTACGTAATTTTTGCGATGAGTTATACTATTTTCTAATGAAGAAATATTTCCATTTTAATGTGTATTTGCCGTTTGTATTGTTCTCTGAAATTGTAATGTAATTCTTTACCTTTGTAATCACGTTTCTGTTCATTACAATAGCAGAAGTATATTTTTCATAATTTGACAATTTATCTTCGTTTATTTTATCTGTTCATACAATTTTCCAAAAATGACTGTAAAATCCTTGTGTACACATTTATATATTTTTTTTACTCCTTTTACGTATATTTCTTTTTGATACAATATCATTTAGTGAGATTTACTGAAATTCATACGTTTTGATTCTTCATTATTGATACAAATATAAATTATATTGCACAATGCCATCGATATTTGCTTCCGCATATTTATCCGCGTACTGTGATGATATACAGATATCTTGGTACGAATGCAATTGCAACTGAATGAATTTGCATGTCACACATCGATTATCAATTCCGTCCCGATGAGCTGATATTTTTTCCAGGTTCGCTGCTCCAGTAGAGATAATCATTGTATGTAGAATCGAGCACATGTAAACGTAAGATAAGAGAATCCATGTGTCGTGACGTTACTTGGGTCAAAGTGCGGGTCAGCACGTGATCAACGGTTAGATATTGCGAAATAATTATTCTTCCATGATTTTTGCAAACGCATATTGACGCATTGAAAAAAGATTCATTTAAACGACCCGCTGACACTATTCATGTTTCATGTTGCAAGGTGAATCTAATTCAAGGATACTGCACTGGAATTAAACGCGTTTCGTGCATTGCACGATTGCATGATTAGCGCAGTCAATTATAAGTTGGTCGGTCGATTGTTCAATTTTTTAGACGTTAAACGTGTCGATTTTGCATTGAAATAAACTTGGCTCAAATTTGTGTGTCTAGAATATTTTATACACGTAAATCGTTTTCCTTCCCACATTACATTTAATGATATTTATTAATATTATATCAATATTAAAATGAGTAATATTAATTGAGGTACCATACATTTTTTACATCGCATAAGTAAATTTTTTCTAATATTTTAAACAGAAATTTTATTAAATTGTAATTTTAAAAACGTAGATTACTTTTTTCATAACACCCTTACAATATTTTTAAATATCATTGCGTTTTTTTCTTCATAAATAAAAAAGTCTTTCTAGAAAGTTTTATCGATGAATATCAAAATATATTGAAAGTGATTGGCACACTTTACCCGTTATCATCATCGATTGCGCGTTTCAGCTTTTATATTTTTATAGCGATCGTTCGAAAGTTGACGTCGTGAGCATCGAGAATCTTGAAGAAACAAACCGTGATCCAATATAAATACGATAGAAAGCCGAACTTAAATTTTGTGCCAATATCTGTTGTAGCCTCAGCTTGCAGAATCGATCAATCTAGTAGCCTTGATCATTTTATATATATATGTATATATATAGTGGCGATTCGAATAATCAGAATTACTAATATGCTACTCACATATAATAAGATTTATCGCCAGATGAAAATAATTATAAATAATTAGTACATGTGTACTAATGTACTAATGTGAAAATAATATTAATTAGTACATGTGTACTAACGTACATACATAATTATTTATTAATAAGTCTGAATGAAAATATATAAATTTGCAATGACCAACTTTCGTAATAACCGATGTTGCTGTCGTCGGTTACCATTTACCATATAAAAGGGAGCACAATAAGACACAATGTGAAAGAATGGTAATCTTCAAATTAACAAATCATTACAATTAGAGTAGAGAATTATGCCACGTATTACTGTTTGTAAAAACCCCTACTTGTCCAATTGCAACAAAATATCTACAAGGTGAAAGAATGTAATTTTCGAATTAGCAAATTAATTACAATTAGAGTAGAATTGTGCCACGTATTACTGTTTGTAAAAACCCTACTTGTCCAATTGCATGTCTTCTCGGAGCTCCACCGGTGATTGCACCTGAAGAGATTCGTCACCGCGGCGATAAGCACGATAGTGAATGCACTTTTGGCTGCAATGTCAGACGGTGGTCCTCATGTCGGAGTCGCCCCCGCTTCACGAGTAAATAAAGCGCGCGTGGACAGGCGAGAATGTGTATTCCTATCTCTCTCTTTCACTACAGGCTCGCTCACATATACACGCGTATGCACACGTGCACACACGTTGCACTACGTACGTACGCACGTCTGCGCACCGCGGTGTATGCCGGAGGACTGTTTACCATCGGCTGACAGCCAGATGATAGCTTCCGATCGCGCTCTCCTCGGTGCCAGCGAACGAGCAGCAATCGGCCAGCCGCGGCGGCAACCAGTCGGTGGCTGGCAGCAGCGCGGAGACAGTCATCCGGTGTTTTTGATAAGGAAACTCCGCCCAGATAGTGCTGAGATACGCTCGGGAATCCGGTCAGGCAGTCAGGGAGGGGTATTATTCTGTCATTTCGAAATCGGTGACGCTGTGACAATCGTCGGGTAAACGATGTCGTCAGGTCATCCGATGACTAGTCCGCGGCCTCCAAGGAAGTTATACACCATTGCAGTACGTTCCTACTGAGATTTCCCATAGACGGATAAAGGAAAAATGAATTTTCTGTTAGTGAAGGTGTATATAGGCATCCGTACGTCCCGAATTTCTCGGAGCAACGTGCTTGATTTGATCGCTGAATCGATTCACGATCTAACTAAGAAGTTGATTTTTCAGCATGCTGTAGCACATTATAGAATGATGAGCATCAAATTTAGAGAAAGAGAGAGAGAGAGAAAGGGACACAGATAAATAATAAATAAAAGCTCAATTGAATATTATACATATGATGATTAAAAAGATCTTTATCTCCGCCAAATTCGTAATCGTCTTATTCAATCATCGGTGTTCTGAAATTAAACAACACAAAGTGAATAATATTATTTCACGATGTGTAAACATTTCGATCATTGCAGCGTATTAAACGTGGTTCTAGCTCTTCAAATAAAACGGACAAACAGCAGATCTTAATAAAACCCTCATTGGGGCTTCTGTTTTATCTTTTTTGTACAATTTTATTATCAAAATGTTTATATAACTCGTAATTATTAATATCATATACAAAAAATATGTTAATTTGAAAAGGATTTATCAGACATGGATAAAAATCTATATTAGAAATAATATAGTAAAACGGTAAGAAATAAAGTAACTTATTATATATCTCGGCATTTGTAGAAGAATTATTATCGACGCGATATCGAGCGGATATGATGATTATACGATAAAAGTGATAATGTTTCTTTTGCTTGAGAAGTTATTTGTGCGCAGAAACGATAGTTCAAAGTATAATCAGGCTATACATCTCTAATGCATGTCGTTTGCACTCATCGGTCTGCATTATTGCACGCACACACATTAAATACATATCTTTTATTATACGAATCGCTTATAGATAGCTAGTGTTACTGCATTGAAAATCATTACAATACACCTTTGCAATAATAGGTTTGACGTACGGATGCGAATGCGAGGATTGCCTTGTACAAGCATACACGTGGAACACAGCGGTGGCATTTATGATTAGCTCCGAAGAAGGGAGAGCGATTTGCATGCTATGACGTTTCGCATTAGAACCGTGCATCGTGCCTGTTATTTCCTACTTGTTTCAATTATTTTTTGAAGTATTATTTGTATTTATATGTATATCGATAATATATCGAGCCTCTCACTCTCTTACTTTTGTGATAAACGTTAATTTTGCATATACATTACCTATCTCGTTAGTGAAAATTTTAAAGAAACTAAAATAACTTTGCATTACAGTGTAAATATTTAATTGTTAGTAAAATAGAGAAATCACAATATCGTTGTACTTCCTTTACTTCTAAGAAGAATCTGTCAAAATAGAAATTTTGATCAAATGTAACGGCCACTGTACATAAATAATGCCATTGGGAATAAATAATGTAGCCTGTTAGGAAATAATGCAATAATGCTGTTCGAACATTACTGATTCCGATAAAATCTTGGTTACTGCTTCAGCGCATATGTGACAAATAGTGCATATGTCATAAATAATTAATCGCGCAATGAGATGCGAAATGAATATTTCATACTGCGTTTATGGTCACACCCACGGGAGAATACGATCAATTTGTTTATTCGTGCAGTATTATACATATATCCAGAAACCGTGTGTATCCCTACATATTCATGAAAACTAAATTAACTTATTGAACTTTTTAGTATCTATAATTGAATTGTTACAAAGAAAAAATTGCTAGAAGTATGTACAATCGTGGACAGATCGGTTTGCGACACTTTTTTTTTATAGGTTTTTAATAATATATTTAATATAAATAATATATATTTTATAGGTAACTAATATTTTGCAAATGCGAACCACGATTGTACTATCTTTAGTCTAGAGACAATATAACACCAATCGTGGTTCGCATTTGCAAAATATTAGTGCGTTTTGAAACCTATAAAAAAAAGTATCGCAACCGATCTGTCCACGATTGTACCACTTTATACGTACCACTTTACTCATTAGTATATTGTGGACTCTTTGTGTATAAAATAATCAATAATCCTCAAATCTCGTTTTGCCTGAATAAAAGTTTTTCCATTCGTTATATATATATATATATATATATATATCCATTCGTTATATATATATATATATATATAATATATATCTTCGCGTTTTTATATCTTCAATCGGAATTCAGCACTGTTTAGAAAATGAAATTGACACGTGCGTTTTATAATGATAAAATCGATATTAAATCGATTGAAGAATCTTTTGTCGTCACGAAGAATTTATGCAAATTTTTTTCCTCGCCCGTTGTGCAATCGTTCATTTAAATTTCTTATTATGCAAATCTATCGATCTCGACAGCATGTGTGTGCAATCGTTCATCTTTTTGTGTTACGAGCGGTGCAAACCGCTGAGAACCAGAGGCAGCGAGTTAATACTAATTTCGATGATAATACGGGCTTAATTAGGCGCAGATGCTTTCGCACGCCAGATAAAAGTGAAAAAAAAAGCGCTCGAAATCCGAGATATTGCGCATCATTGCCACGAGTTTCGTTATCAGGTTACGGTATAGCTGCGGAAGACAATTGTGCCTGTCAATTGAAGGAACGATCTGTTATCACTGCTGCGGTGCTTGATGAGAGACATGACACGCAGTCTAGAATCAGAGAATTTGAATAATGCAAACTTTCGCGCAAACAGTATTGTCGCGGTGTACAATGTGTTTCGCAGTCACCGCTCATATCTTTCTAATTGTTAGATACATATGATACACGATTTTTTTCTGACTTTTTCATCCAACGAAATGTGTTCGCATTTTGTGTCATTACATCATTTGCGTTATGTTGAATCATTCGTTCGCACGTGTCGGAAAACTAGTAAGGAGAACCATAACTATGAATATATGTAAGTCATTCTCGTATTATTTAACAAAACGCTTTTTGATGAGATATTTATTGAAGAATTTCGTATCCTAAAAGTTCACTCACGCACTACAACTATGTGTGTGATTTTTATTAAAATTTAATCGAAAATCAATGTTGTAAAATTTGAATTTTTAACATCCTAAGAAAGTTTCTAATAAAGCTCTTAGTGAAAGTTTTATTAGGTGAAATTTTATTGGGTGAACTCCAACAAGCGAAGTTCTCAATTATCAGCAACTCAGGAAAGTATTAATGTGTTGAATGTATAAGTAAGCTTGTCTACAAAATTTTCATCAAAAGGAAATTTAATGCGGCATTCTTAAATATCTATTCATGACTCGCGTAACGTGTACGAGGCGGAGTTTTCATTCTTTACAGCCCCCCTCGCATTAAACCGCTCTCAATTAGAGTCTGTTTAGGCACCGTGAGTCTTTTTAGAGCCAATCAGTACGCACTAAAGACTCGTAAACAGTGTCCTGTCACCGACGTCTCATCATTTTCCTCGTTATCTCTCGGCTCATCCTTGTCTGATAAATTAGACGGTACAGGACCAGTATACATGTTACGTCGTACGCGAGCTCAATTTAACGTGTATCTCGTACAAACGCGTGATTAGATGATAATGCCCGACCGTCAGTCCCATTATAATGGCACGTAAGTCGATCGGCCAAAGCCGGTGGAATCTTTTGATAACTGTGTCGCAGACAACGTAAAGTCCAAAATCGGGACGTCTCTAAGACGGTTTTTTAGACGCCTTTCAAACGAGACTCTTTTTCGCAAACATGTTTTTAAGGCGTCTCTTAGATGTCTCATGTCCCGTTTTTGGTCTTTATGTCGTCTGGGTGTGGCACGTGACTCACACGCCAAACAACTTATATCACGCATCATTAATTCAGGAATACTCTCGTTTCGGATAATCGATGGATATACATAATATTTCCCCTCCCTTTTTCTCTACATAAAAATAATGAACGATATCACATTAAATCGCTCAATTTGTCTCTACATCCAACTGTGTAGAACATGTAAATACGCTTGCTTAATCGCAAGTGTTTGTTACACATCTGTTGCTTTATTTACGTATTTAAAGCAATGCAAATTTTATGACGCGACGCTGACGGATTAAACGGATTGCGACGATTACATAATCTATGACAGACTGGTCTCTCGATTAAATTTTCAAAGATACACTCCTGCAGACCAAATGTTATACCTTATCGAATCCAGCCAGGACTCGATAAGGTATAACATTCTGTTTTGGCATATCGTTACGTTTCTCATATTTTTCATATTTTAAAATATCTAATATTTTTGAACAATAAAATGAGAAATAGTAGACCATTAATATATTTATTAATATTGTTTTGGTTATAATTTATTATTTCCGTGTAAAACTAACGTGAAATGTAATAAAAACTTTTACAATACCGAATTTCGAATACTATAATAATATACTAATTCGAATTACTTCATAATCCTGTGATCACACCAATAATATGCAATAATAATTAATGCCTAATAATTAATGATAATTTGATTATATTATTATTCACTGCACATACCCAATTTAATGTGACATTGGCATTCATAGCATTCGAAATACCTTATTGCAAAGAGACTTTAACATATTCGCTATACATATGCGTACTTACCTCCTGATTTACTAGCAGTCTTGAATGCACCCTGATTGTAATTTTCTTTCCTTCTGGTCGATCACGTTCTATCAAACAGCCGGCATAACTATAGGAGAGAAAAAGAGAAAGACGTCACACTTCATACATGCGAATAAAATCGACAACTGGATTTGAATCAACAACAGAAGTTTCGAGGTTCTCTAATTGAAACATATATTCTTTCATGGTTCTCTCATGCGTGACATTTTAAAAA